ACTCAAGATTATGAACATATAGCAACATTCTTTGCCTTAAATCCCAGGCTGATTTATATTCATTCGAAACTTTTCTCGATAGTTTTTTCGCAGCTTTATTATCAATCCACACTTTGCACAGTAAACGTTCGACGTATTTACAAAAAAACAGATATCTGAATATAAGCTGATAAATCATTATAGAACTTTTGTTCAGTATTAATGAAACAGGCCATTTAACTTCGTATATGAATGTCAGCGATTCCCAACCTCTTGTAGTCTTATTCGGTTTTAATATTCCTTTCGAATTTGAAATTATCTTGAGTAATAATGTCATAATATCATCCTGGTGTAATTCAGTTTTTATATTGTCCTTATATGGGTCAGCACTTGCAGAAGAAGTTCTTAATGCTAGTTCTACCAAAGTTTGTAATCTGGAAGGTAATATGTCTCCTATTTCTTTATTTAGCTCATTTTCACTCATATCCATGAATTTCATAAAAAAATCTCCCTGATCAAACAGTAAATAGTGTTTAACAGATTTTAAATGACCAATCAAATCATTCACTTGCATCAAATGATCTAATAAGCTGCTGCTTGCTAATACATAAGCTTTTTGAATTGCTTCTGCACATTTGTTTTCATTATACAGGTAAACAATGTCTTCAGCAGAAGATTTGGCATTAAGACCGCACTGTCGTAAAACATTCAAATACTTTCCAGTTGACAATATCATAGGAGCTAGTTTTTCTAAAAAAATTGGTATTTTTTCTTTATTTATTGTATAACATTTTCCCCAATAATCATCTGAGTATTCTTCTGGAAGTTGTTCTTTATCGAAAACTACTTGATTATCATTTACTAAAAATTCATTATAGGGATCTATGATTATTCCATGGTACAGCCAATTTTGTAATTGATTCATGTAGGGTATTGCAGAGGCTTCCAACAAGATTTGACATAATTTTTCTTCTTTTCCAGTGCAATTAGTCGCAAACTCATGTAGTAAACTAAGAGTTTTACCACCTTTAGCGCCTCTTTTGTTTATTGCTTCACAAATGTTTTTGATTGTTTCAAAAGAAAATAAATAAGGTTGAACTTGACAGTAGAAGCGATGCAAGTTAAGACCTCCTAAACGATTCTGGTCTTCAAGCTTTGCAACCATTCCCAAATAATCGTTTTTGATTTTAAGTAAACATGCGGCTAAAGCATGATTTACTTTTCCATATTTAAAATGAAATTGTTCCTCAACAAATCTTGTTAAAGTTGAATAATAAATAGCTACTGGTAAAATATTATTTGCAAATTGTTTCCAACACAAATCTAAACTTTCGTGAACGACAAATGTTCTAGGCTCATCTTTTTTTAGAGGATTTGCCATAACATATCTGCCAGACACTCCCTGCATACAAGAAATTAAATCATTTACAACAATACTTTCTTGAGAGCATGAAGGAACTACTGGAAAATTGATTTGATCTCCTTGTGAAGAAAAATCTGATATAAGACCTGGACACTTTTTCGACCAATCAATCAGTTGTGGCTTATGTTCATTGGGATGAGTAGATTTGTGTAAGTTATATTCAGTAGGTTTTGCAGAAACCTGAGATTCTACATATTTTGTCGCTTCCAATTGTAATCTTGTAATAACTGAAGTAATAGGATTACACATTGCCGATGAAGGTAATTCATCTGAGGAACTCCTAAAAATTTAATTTTAAATAAAGAAATTAAACATTTTTTAAAAAAATTTTAATGGATAATTAAGCATTTATAATTATTAATGATCAAGAAAGAATTTATTAAAATATATATATGATGATCGATCATTTCTTGTTTTCTACAATCATTATTACTAAATTTTTATTTTAGTTTTTCATACTTAATAACATAATAATATTATTATGTTAAGTTTTTGATGTTGTTTTTAATAAAATACCACTGACGTTAAATTGTAAGCGTATGAAATAAATTGCAAAAATAAAATGATAAAAGAGATAGAGAAAAAAATAAAGCGAAAAAAATTAAATTAAAATAAATATAAATACTTGCATTTTTTTACTTTTTATTGAAAATTATAATTTAAAATATTTAAAACAATAACTGAAAAAAAAAAAAAACAATAATATTTTTGCGGGAAATTTGTCGCCATAGCAGGCGGTGTTTACATCCGGTGTTGAATACGAAGCATTCTCAATGATTCTCAAAGAACGTGACTACTAATTTACATGTGGTCTTTAATATAATTATGGTAAGTCCCGGCAAATCGATAAATTTAACTTTAAATAAAAGAATAAAATGAATTTTAGCAAGTATTTATTTCATTTTTACATTGTAAATGTATTTATAACAAATATATTTACTTTGAACTTTTGTAAATAATTTTTACCGTATTTTATATAAATAATAGTTACACACAATAAATTAATACTAAAATTAGATAAAAAAAAAAAAACATTTTTTCTTTATTTTTTTTTGGTGCATTTTTGATATTTTAATTTATAAATATTATTTTCAGGGAAAACAATTTGTTTTATTTGAGCATGCAGCAGGTTATGCTTTATTTCGGGTTAAAGAATTTGAAGAAATTGGAGCTCAATTGGCTCAAGTGGAAGCAAATGTAACTGAGTTAAATAAATTTAACAGTGTTGTTAAATTAATCAGTTTTTCTCCTTTTAAAACTGCAGCAAATGCATTGGAAAATATAAATGCCGTATCAGAAGGAATTGTCACTGATGATTTACAATTATTTTTAGAAACACAGTTGCCTAAATCTGAAAAATCTAACAAAGTAGTTTTAGGTAAGTAAAGTAAATGAAATTAAAACAAAATTTTTTCTTTTTTTCTTATTTATTGGTTTTTAATTAAGCGGGATTTTATTTATTGTAGGAGTTTCCGATCCTAAACTCGGAGCAGGTATTTCGGAGGCTTTATCAGTGACATGCAGTCATGGAGGAATTTTTCCAGAAGTTATTAGAGGAATAAGATTTCATTTTCACAATTTGGTTAAGGGTTTTACTTCAAAATCATCAGCTACTGCTCAACTTGGTTTGGGACATTCTTACTCGAGGGCAAAAGTAAAATTTAACGTTCACAGAGCGGACAACATGATTATTCAAAGCATTGCCTTATTAGATCAACTAGACAAAAACATTAATACATTCTCTATGAGAATCAGGTAAAAGTTTTGTAATAAATTTAATATTTGTACTGTTTTGATTTACTTTTGAGTTAATTGAGCTTTTCTCTACATTTTAGAGAATGGTATTCTTATCATTTTCCTGAGTTGGTGAAAATCGTACCGGAAAATTACACTTATGCTAAATTGGCAAAGTTTATTAAAAACAGAAAAACATTAACAGATGAAAGTTTAGAAGGACTCGAAGAGATTACAATGGATAGTGCTAAAGCTCAAGCAATTTTAGACGCATCAAAATCATCCATGGGTAAACATTCATTCATGTTTTTTTTTTTTTCTGAATAAAAAATATTAATATTTTACATTAGTGTTGGTTTCATATAATTAAACTAAAGCTAATAATAATAATTTGTTTATTTGTAGGAATGGACATTTCATCGATTGATTTAATAAATATCGAAATGTTTGCATGCAGAGTTATCGATTTATTTGCATATAGAGAAAAATTATCATCCTATTTAGGAAATAAAATGTCTGGTGTTGCTCCAAACCTTGCCACACTCATTGGAGATCAAGTCGGTGCAAGGCTCATTGCTCATGCAGGATCTCTAACGAATTTGGCAAAATATCCAGCGAGTACAGTTCAAATTTTAGGAGCTGAAAAAGCTCTTTTCAGGTATGGGAAATTATTAATGGTTGCAAATTTAATTTCGTTTTATTTAATAATTTTCTTTTTTTTTTGTTAAAGAGCTTTGAAAACAAGATCAAACACTCCTAAATATGGTCTATTATATCATTCCTCATTTATCGGACGAGCAGGTACGAAAAACAAAGGAAGGATTTCACGATATTTAGCAAATAAATGTTCTATCGCATCGAGAATAGATTGCTTTTCAGGTACGTGTCGTGGAAATTTTCATTTTGTTTAAGCCCAGTCGTAAAAATATGTTAAACATAAAATTTTCATGTTTTCACAGATATTCTCACAAACGTGTTCGGAGACAAATTGCGGCAACAAGTCGAAGACAGATTAAAATTTTACGAAAATGGGGAAATCCCCAAAAAGAACATTGACGTTATGAAAGAAGCCATTGTGGAAGCGAATCAAGCCATCGAGGAAGCAAAGAAAAAGAACAAGAAGAAAAAGAAAGATAAGAAAAAAAGAAAACTTACGGATGCGAACGAAAAGGAAAATGATGTCAATGGCGTCGAAGGTAAGTCAAAAACAATTTTTTTAAAAAACTAAAACTAAAACTTAAGATGATGGTGCATTCGTTGGATTTCGATGGATGAAAAAAAAAAAAAAAAAAAAAAAAATTTTGTGTTCGTAGATAATGATATTGAAAATGATGTGACCGAAGAAGAACCGGTCAAAAAAAAGAAGAAGAAAAAGAAAGAGAAAGAAAATGAAGAATAAATATTAAAAAGGAAAATTTAAAATTGAGCTTTTCATCCATCATTCTGCGTTTTATAATAAAGGATAGAAAAAGGAAAATTATTTTTTAATATTTGGATTGAATGAAAGAGGGGAAGGGGGAGAAGGAGGGGCGAGCCCCATTTTTAATTCTTCTTCTTCACTTTTTCTATCTATCTGTCTTTTATTTTACATTTAAAAAAAAAAAAAATATGAATAATCAGGTTATTTTTTAATAGTTTATTAATAATAATAATATATCCTACGGTTTATAATATATTTTTTTTTTTAAATAAATAAAAAAAACAAATAAAATTGAGTACGTGAATTATTATTATTATTATTATTCTCTTTATTTTATTGATTTATTTTAATATAACCGTCACAATAATAACAATAACAAAAAGAAAAAAAAATTTAAATTTATCACTTTTTGTTTTGTTTTCCAATTGCACAAAGATGTTTTTATTTATTTTTATTTTTATTATTAATAACAATTTATTAAAATTATTTAATTACTAACAGCATCATTTACCTTTACAAAAAAAAAAAAAAAAAACAAATATAATAATTATTAATAACAATAAAAAAATAAAAATTAAAAAAATTTGAAAGAAAAAGTAATAATAATATTAAAATGTTTAAAATCGCCGTTAATTAAAAATAATAATAAAAATAATAATAATAATAAATAAATAAATAAATAAAAATATTTGATAATAAAAATAATAATAATAAAAATAATAATAATAATAAAATCAAAAATATTTTATTATAAAAAAATTAAAGAAAAAATTTTGATTTTTATTTAAAACACGCGGGAATGAAGGAGAAGTGGGAGGGTGGAAATTATTATTATCATTATTAAAACGGCAAAGAATTTCCATGATGATGATAAATTTTTTTTTTTTTTTTTTAAATAATTTTTTTTATTATTTTTTCTAATCAATCAATCAATCAATCACATTTAAAAATAATCAATTAAAAAAAAAATTTGTTATTATTATTATTATCAATCAATCAATCATTACGATTATTAACGTTATGTGTATATAATATTATTATTATTATTATTATCCTTGGCAAATGTTTATACTGAGCAATTATTATTTATTTATTTATTTAATATCATTTACATAAAAATTAATTTTTTTTTTTTTTTTTATTATTATCAACTCGCCAAAGTTTTTCATTTTATTATTGTTTTTATTATTATTATTATTAATCTTTTCTAACGACAACCTCTTTTATTTATTAAATAATTTTACGGCAGAAAAAAAAAATGAGTATTCGCGCTTAAAAAAAAAAAAAAAAAAGAAGAAAAATTAACAAACTTTCTGTCTCTCTCTCTCTCTCTCTCTCTCTCTCACTCTCACTAACTTAATAAATTCATCTTTATTGCAATTGAAAAAAAAATAATAATAATAATAATTAAAACATATATATATATATATTCTCACGTTTATGCACAATCTGGCAACGTGTTTAAAAAATTTATTATTTTTAAAATTATTTAAAAAATTTTAAATTATTTAATTAATTAATTAATTAATTAAATAAATAAATGAATGAATGAAACGGTTCCCACCACCTTTAATATATTTAAAATAAAAAAACTAAAAATAATAATTAATTATTATTATTATTAATAATAATTATAATAATAATAATAATGATTTTTTTTCTTATTTTCGACCCATCGATTATCGAGTTTTCGTGTATATTTATATATATATATATATAAAAATGCAGACGATAAAATAAAAATTAAAGTGCATAAAAAAATATATGTATGCATATGTATGCTATATGCATATGCATATGCATACAATGATAATGATGATGAGTAAATAAAATTATTAATAATAATTTTTTTTAATATAACTTAGCAAAAAAAAAAAAAAAAAACTAACCCGACACCATGTTTTTTTTTTCTCTTTCTTTTTAATAATTATTTATAAATGATAATAATGATAATACGCATTTCCGGTTTATTTTTTTTTAAATTAATTAATAATTAATTACTTAATTCTTTCTATTTTTTTTGTTCTATTACTTTTTGTTAATTTTTTTTTTTTTTTTTAATCATTTTTAATTGTGATAATTTCAAACTGAAATTACCGTTATTATTATTATTATTATTATTATTAGTATTATTATTATTATTATTATTTTTAATCTTTAATGATATGATAGTAGTACAATATTGCCCGATAAAAATTGACTCTGACGTTGTTGTTGTTGTTACAAATTCGTCGAACGTTATTTCGATTAAAACAATAATATTAATAATAATAGTAATAATAATAATAATAATAATAATAATAATAATAATAATAATAATAATAATAATAATAATAATAAACCGTTTACGAGTATTAAACGCGCGCGCGCTCTCGTATGTATGTATGCAAATCAATTATTAAAATTTTTCGGCGAAACGATGACGTCACAATGATTTTACGATATTTCATTTCGACATCGTCTCGAATGTTCTTTTAACAACAAAATGTTATTAAAAAATAATTTTCTTTTTGTTTGTTGAGGCAACGGTGAATTTCATCACTTCATGCATTCATCCATCACATTCGCATAAAGTAAAAAAAACCCTGAATAATCAAAGTCGGCGGATGTACCTTCCATTGTTGTTTACTCCCACCAACGATATATCGAATTAATCGATCGATCGATCGATCAAATGTTTTCATATAAATTATTGCGTTAAAAAATTACTTTTAGCTGCTCGTCACTCGCTATTTGTTTGTTTGTTTGTTTGTTTGTTTTCCACGTAAATTGTCTACTCCTAATTAATTATTATTAAAGACCGTTGGACGAATTGAAAAAATTTGAATTTTTCATATTATTAATCGACGATCCTCCTCCCATTATAAGCCCTGAAATAATAATGATAATGATAATAATTAGTTTACTTTAATTTTAGCCGTTAAATATCGTGTCTATTCATCTTTTCATTCCTCCCCTTCACCCCCACCCTCCCTTTTACCTGTGGAATTTTGTGATGCGGGTTTATTAATCGCCATTTGATTCATGCTCGGCTCTCTTTTATTATTATTCAATTTGTTACCGGATATGGTTAGATTGTCAATGTCTATGTTAAGACCGCCTGAATTACTCCACGTCGGCCCGACCTAAATCATCGAATAAAAACATTATTATTATTATTATTATTATTTTTTCATTAACGTCATCGATTATTATTATTATTATGTACTACTTTTAAAGGTGTAATTGTAATTTCTTAATACTCACAGTGCTTAAAGAATTAGAAGTTTTATTTGATATGTTAGAAGTTAAAGGCTGAGCTGAAAAAGGTTGAAGTGGTACCAAACCAGATGATTGACTAGGGCTAACCGTTGGCAGGTCTGACAAACAGAAAAAAATTCAAATTATTATTAACGGGTTACCGTTGGTAGAAATGCGGAAGGCTAAATTTTATTGTGAGAGTATTTGTTTAAAAAAAAAAAAAATTATCCTTAAAAATATTTATTTATAAAACTTAACCCGGGCCCTATGCAACATAATAATAATAATAATAATAATAATTCAAGTCATTGTGGAAAATTGATCACATTGAAAATACAATAGGATAATTAGGAGAATTATCACGTGTCCTAAGCATACAGTTACAATAATAATAATAATGATAATGGAAAGATAAAACTTTTAATGTGAAAAATATCACGATAAACGGATCGTTTGATAATATTGCTTTAAAAAAAAAACAAAAGTAACCGTGAAATTATGTCTTTTGTTTAACTTCCACTCGTTTACCACCACCACCACCACTGCCACCATCTTTATTCAAATTCAAGGTCTTTAATTAACAGGCACAATTGCATGGCAAACGATCTGCAATCGCTGTCGGGATCCGTAGTGCTAACACAAAGCAACCAATCTCTGTAGTTGAGCATTTGCACGAGTAAATCATCCATTAAATTGACTTTGGGTGCGGCTAAAAAAACACTCGCAATGCACATCATGGCTCCCAGCCTCACTTTACCCTCTTCGTGAAACCTCAGAGTCCATACCAATTCCAAAACTTCTTTGGCTATTCTAAGTGATATCGGAGCATTTTTACTGCAGTACATAATTACGGACACCGCGTTTAAAAATTTCGTCAGAATCAAAACTTCGTCTCGAATCGTGTCGATTTTTTCCAATTTGGAAAACGTTAATTTTCCGATTCCGTAGTCTTTGACCAGGGGGAAAAAAAAATAACCCGCCACGTCGTGAAAATTATTTTTATAAGTCGTCGCGACTCGTTTTCCTTTCCCGGAAATAAATCTTCTCGTGTTTGACATGATTCTTTCTTTGACGACGAGTTCCCATTCTTTTTCCTTCTTCCCGACTTTTCGATCGACTTTGCTTTGGTGATTTGGGTTTTCCGCGGATTCCGATAACTTTTTCGCGGATGCCGATAATATGTCCAACATGAATAATCTATCGGATACGGAATATTTATTCAACGCGGCATTGAATTCTTTGCACACGTATTCGGCACCTTGAATCGGATACGAACATATTATTTCAACGCAACAACTAAATTTGATTGTTAGAAAATTTTCAATGCCGTAAGAATCGTCGAGAGATATAAACAATTGAATCAATTCGATTCCGATTTCGGGGTCGTCGTTGGACAATTGTGACATTATGAGATTTTGAGCGTTTTCAAAACCGACGCAAAATTTTTCCACATTTTGTCGATCGGCTAAAATATCGATTAAATCTCTCAGGTATAACGGTGGGGAAACCTTAAAGGATTTCACGTCGTTTGATGTGTCGTAGGGTACAAGATCATCATCGCTGTCCAAATCATCATCTTCATAATTATTAGGCTCGTTATCAGTCGATTCTTTCTCGATATTATTATCACGGGAGTCCAGGGCAACGTTATTTAGTTTCGTTTCAAACGTTTCCTCTTTCAAAGGTAAAACTTCTCCCACTGATTCCTCCTTTTTTCCCAACAAAGTCAAAAGTTGATCGTCGCCATCTCCTTCCGGTTTCATTTCGACAATTTCAACATCGATATTTCTTAGATTACTGATTAACTTTTGCGTGTGCGAATTAAATATATCGTAAGTGAATTTCAATTCCGTTTCCGCTTTCACATTCATAAATTTAGGTATTAATATTTCAGCTGTGATCATTCCCAATCCGCGAATTTCTTCATCGCATGATTCCAAATGTACGGGAACTCCGGTGAAAAGAAGTTTTCGTATTTCGTCTTTTTCGTCCGAAGAACAAACACCCTCTAAAAAAAGTCCACCCGTTATTATTAATTTTGTCAAGTAGTAGTGTTGTGCCGATGGAGTGTTATGAACAGCAACCTTATTCGACCAAACTTTTATCACTTGAATTACGAGATCGTAAAGTAATTTTTTATTCGCTAAAAACAGGTATCCGATCAGGTTGGTCACAAACTCGGGATACCGTACATCGTCGAAATAATTCAAAAGTGGAAATTTCGATATGAATATGTGCTTGTACTCTGGAACTTTCGTAACGATATCATTTAACACGTTGTGCACATTTTTAGGAGATTTACTCATGCATAAAATGTGAAAACTAATCGACTGAGCACCGGATTTATTTAAATTTGATAACGCATCGAATAGTACGTGTCTTATTTCCAAATTATTCGCACACCAAATGTTTAAAACTTGTATTAAATTAAACAATCCTTGAGAAGTTCGAGACAAACGAGTTAAAATTTTCGACAGGAAAAACGAAAGGCTCTTGATATTCATCATTTCTTTTTCATCATCCGAAAAATACTCATTAATTTCGGACAAAATTTTTATGCTGTTTCCGGCGTGGAAAAACATAGCATTGGAAAATTCCTCGTTTGGAAAAGCGCAATGTTTCCCCTTCGTTTGATTCGTTATTATGTCGGGTAATGATAGAACCGAATGGAAAACATTACAAAATTCATCCAAATTCGATGGATTTCCTTTTACGCACGACTGAATAATGGAAGACGATATTAAATCACTTTTTACAACGCGATGACAAATTTTTAAAATGTAATCCATCGAACTGCTAGGAAATTTTGTGATTTTGATGCCGTGAACAAGAATGAACATGACGGTACTCAAAATTTTAATGTTTCCTCCATCGACGGCAAAAAATTTCAAAACAAGATGGTTGAGTTCTGGCGAGTTACAATTTAAAATTATTTTGATATTTTCGATCAGGTACTGAGCAATTTTTTCGTAATATTTTTGAACGAAATACGTGGTTTCATTCGAATCGGAATCGATTCCTGTTATTTTTTGCGGTGTGAGTTGGCCTGGTAAGAGATTTAAAAAATATTTCAAATGTTGCACGAGTTGTTTTCCCTCAAATTGTTCTTCTGAAATGGAATTATCGTTAATTTTATCGATGAGTTTAGAAAATGCAGCGTATTTTTTATCTAAATTCTCTTTCACAAGATGATTTAACGTTTCTTCCGTTTTATGCAAATCAATACAACCAGCAAACGATCTTGATTCACTTCCGATTGAATCTGCCACTTGATCAACTGCAAGTTTTAAAGTCTATGTGGATATGAAATTGAGGACTACACATAAAATTTTACAACGACCATTTGATACATTAAATTTAACCGAATATTATTGGATTAGAATTTTGAGTTAGCTGTTATGATTGTTACTCGGTAAAAATGAATTACTTACCACCATCTAAAAGACTTTTCGCTGAAAATGTTTGTCCTGTAGTATTATTTGAGGTATGTTGCATCCCCATTAATAAATCAGCATTTGAATTTTTAACGGTTGATGGAGATAAGGCATTTTGTATGAAATTAAGTTGATTGGAATTAGATGTGGAATCCAAATTGCCAAAAGGAGCATTGGTATTACTATTGTTGCTGTTATTGTTATTAGGTTTGATTGCCACTTGATTGTTATCAGTAAATGCAAAAGCGAAATCCGCGAATTCGTCACTGGAAAAAAAAAAAAAAAATTGTAAAGGAAAAAACTAAGGTATAACTAAAAAGCAATTAAAAAAAAATGATACCTTTTAGTTTTATTTTCCGGCACACTTGAAGAATTTTTATCAGAAAAAGCACTTTCGAAATTTCCAAATTCTTGAGCATCCGAAGCTCGAGGATTGAAATCATCGTCGTGTAAGTTAAATAAATCGATATTCGCTTTATTATTATTATTATTATTGTTATTATTGTTATTGTTGTTGTTGTTGCTTGATTCTCCTACGTAATTGGCAGCAGCACCCAAATCAATTTTTTTAACAGTTTTAACTAATTTCGACGGAGAATTAATGCTAGAATTGATATTATTTTTAACATCTATTTTTTGTTTGCTCGATTCTATACTGAATGTATCACAAGTATCTTTGTAAATTTTCGGTGACCTGTTATAGTCATTTGTATCACCATCCGAATCATATTTTTCACCTTCATCGCTATTACATAAAACATGTAAAAATTTTTTATTTATCAATTTCAATTACTTTTTTCAAAATTTATCTTGGAAAAAATGTTAAATTGTTTACTCAACCTATTGTAAGTTGAATCCTGAAATCCACCTGAATGCCTTTTTTCAGATTCCCAATCATTTCTTCCTAAATCATCCCACCTTTCTCTGCCTGAAAACATTTACAAAAAACATTTTGATAAAATTTTAAACGAATAGTTTTAATTTAAAGTTACAACAAGTGATAATATGTTTACCATATCTTCCGCCTAGCCCTGCATCGCTTGAAAGTCCGACATATTTATCTTTATTTTTCTTGGCCTTTTTCCTTTCTTCTCTTAACCTATCATCATCTTGTATAAATTCAATTAGTTCTCTAACTTTATGTCTAACATTAATCCCCTGATCTTTACCATATTCATCTAAATATGTATAATTTTCTAATGATCTTAAATCGTAAATATGTTCTCTTGACGAAGAAACCACTCTTTCAGACCCTAATAATCCATAATTAAGAACATTAATACATTATTATTTATCCTTGAAATGTAAAAATTTAAAAGATGGATAGGATTTACCATTTCTTATAAGATAATTTAACAATAATAAACTTTTATAAGTTCTTCTCCAATTAGTTTTATTATCTTGAAGCATTCTTTTCCATAACATACACATAACTTCGGGAAAATTTTTAAATGTAAAAGTTGCCTGAGCTATTTCTTGCATAAGAGCACCTGTTGGACCCCAAGCATCATCATTTGTTGCTTCCCTAACTTTGGCTTCTATTTCAGTATAATTCATAACCACATTGGTTCTAAAAAAAAATAATTATTTAGAAAAACAAAGTTCAAATAATTAACTAACTTTAATAAAAAGACTAAATAAAAAATTATTTCTAAGAAATTGACATTATGTAAAAAAAAAAAAAAAAAATGACATAAGTAAACAACAGTAAATTTCTTATAAATTAACCCTAAAAATTATTTTAAAAAATTGTTTTTTCTTTTATTTTATCGCGTTTTACAATATCATAATACCTTATGTTAGCTCGGTAAATAAATTTGAAAAATTTCTTTCTTTATTTTGTAAACAATTAAAGTAAAAATTATTATGATTAACTAACGATAACCTTGATTTTTGATAGTAATAATACTAACATATTTTTAATAATTTCTCATAGAATTTATATTATATTTTTATTTAAAATAAACATGATGCATGATAAAAATTTAAATAAAATCATAAGGAAATTTAATTAGTTTAATAAAGTACTAACAAGGAGTTTAGTGTACTTGGCTGTCAAAGAAATCAAAACATTATTAATAACTACTTACACTTTATCTGCGATTTCTCGCACTTTCCACATACTAAACATGTTGCTAATTTAAAAATAAACTCTATTTTAAAATAAAAATGTCATTTTACACAAACGGATGCTTTCGGATAAAAACGGTGAAATCCACTTTATTTGAGCAATGTTAATTTAATTAATTACATAAAAAGCAGAAATGATTATTTCGTCACTAACATTCCAATGCAGTCTTACCAACAGTAATCATCAATTTGAAAATTATTAATTATTAGACACCCCGATTTCCTATAGACCTTAATTAATAAATTAAATTTTTATGAAAATAAAATTCACTTTCAATATTTATTTAAAAAAAAAAAAAATAATAATAATAATTTTTTATTAATTATAAAATTGACAAATTTGATTCCAGCAGTTATGAAATGATTATCTAATAAACCTGCCTTGAAACACTTGTATCTTTCCCTGACTTTTATTCACTGCGGTCAAATTGATACAGCATGAAGCAAAAAAAAAAATTATCTAAGCAATATAATTTTTATCATTTTGCGATAAAAATTTTTTTTAATAAAATCGAAATTACAAATTTTTTACGTTCGAAATTTGTATTTTTTTTATTTTACTTTAATACATTCAAAATTAACGATTTAATCATTAAGGCGGGAGGGGGAACACTTTTCAAACTTAAATTTTATTTATAAAAAATCACTCATTATTTCTGATAGTTGTGCTAGAACTTATGGCTATTACTTATTATGGAAAGATTTTAATAAAAAGTAATAATTTTTTAAAACTTACAATGTTCGCATTATAATAAATTAAATTTCTTGTAGTAAAAGATAGTAGAAACTATTGAATTTTAAATTGTAACTTTAATAGCTTTTATTATTATTAAAGAAAAAACTTTATTGTTAATAACTTTCAAATAATTTAAGTTTTTTTTTTTTAATTTCAATACCTTACAATTTTCGAAGAACTTATTTAATTGTGTTGTTGCAATTATAAATAAAATGAAAGCATTTTAAACATAGAATAAAATGGAAATTTCCATATTAACTTAAAAGTTTTAAATTTCGAAAGACTAGTTACAAAGTTGGCAAAGTCTATTGTAATCAAAATGGCTTCCTCTCTCATAAATAACTTTGAACGTTTGAAATATCAAAGTTAAAATTTTGTCATATATATTATAAAATGATTAAGAAAAAAAATTATTGTCATGGATTTAAAAAAAAATGAAGACGCCGATGAAAATAAAAAACGGTTGACAATTTTAATTGAAGTTTTAACCCATTCTGGATCTACTTCTTTAGATGAAGAAGTCCTTAAAGAAATAAAAAAAATTTGCAGGTATTAAAAAAGTTTTTAAGTTTTTCGAAGGAAATATTAATAACGTTTGATAAATATATAATAAATGCAATACTTATTATTTTTGCAGATCATCAGAAATTTACATTTCTAAAGCCTATGACTTGGTACTTCAACAATTAAAAAAAAAAAATTCACAAATAAGAATAAATGCTTTTTTAATATGTAAAGAACTATTCAAGAGGTCAGCTTTATTTAGAGAACTTATTATTAAAGATCTTGAACTTATATATAAATTATCAGCTGAAATAAATTCAAAATCTAAATTACCACCTCCTAAATTGTCAGCAGAGAATTTAAAAGTACTGGCTTTAGAAACATTAAGCAATTGGGTAAAAGAATATGGAGATTCTTATAAGAAGTTAAAAATTGCATACAATTATTTTAAAACCTGTCATAATGTCAATTTTGACACTTATGAAGTTATAAATTCAGCTGAAAGACAAAGACAAGAAGAAAATGAAATTTATCAAAGGAATAGAAATATAGATAAGATAAATAATTTAATGAAAAATGTTAATGGTAAGTAGTAAATCATTACAAAGAAAAATGTTTTATTAATTTGACTTTAAGGTATTATTAAAATTTAAAAATTTTACTTTCAGATTATGAACCAGAAATTGATAATACAATTACTTCATTATCAAATTGTCTAAATCTTTTGTTACCTCAGCCGGAGGAGTTTTTTATTCAAGAAATCGGTGATTCTAATAATACATCGGTAGAAGAAAGCAAATATTCTAATTTTGACAGTAGTGATGTGGATGTACAGCAAAACACCTTGAGAGATTTTGGAATCACAACAAATTATTCATTATCATTGCAAGTAAATCCGAATGAAAAAATTTGTGTCAAAAAAACAGAAGGAAATTCATCAATTATTGAAAATGCTCAAGATTGTGTGCAGCTCATTGTCAATCGTTTTTTACCTTTAACTAAAAAATGGTCTAATATATGCACCAAATACTCCAATGGGTGGGTAACTTAAATAAAAAAATGATTGTGTTAAAAATGTTTGCATTTTCTAAATGAAAAAATATTTTCAGAAATATTCAAGAAATTAAAAGAATATTAGATATAAAAGAAAAATTAAACAAGATACTCGGTAAATATCATAAGCTAAATATTGAAGGATTGAGTTCTAAAACCGATGAAAATGGAGACAAAGCAGATGACGCTTCGGATGATGATGACGATGATTTTGAAGAAGTTAAAAAAGAAGGTTATGAAGATTCAGTAAACATGTCAGATGATGAGTTATTTCATTTAATTAATAAAAAAAGTGAAAAAGTACCTGAAATATCAAATGAAAAAAAACTAAATTTAAAATCTGACACTTTAGAAAAAAGTAATTTTTTTTTTTTGACATTTTTTTCAAAACACTTTAATGGTGGGTAAATACACGATTGCATATTTAATGGTAGGTAAATTTTTTTCAGATGAAAAAATATTAGATCAAACTTCTCCTAAGCCATCATCCTCTACATCTAATGACAGAAAAAGTAAATTATTGAAAATTGCTCCCAAATTGCCTTTTGACATTGATCTTTATCATTGGGAGGACCAGTCATTATCAGTTCCAACTTTAATATCGTTAGTTATAATTTGTCTATGTGGTATTAATAAAACTTTGTGCAAATCAAATTTATTTTTTAT